CCCAGCAGCACCCCCACAGCTGGGGCGCCTGCCTGTGTCCCTACATCACACAACAGCGGGGTCTTGCTCATCAGTGGCCAATGCAGGGCAGTCAGTTGTCGTCTTAAAAGGCATCATGACAAACTTATGGACAAGCAACTTTTTGGTCTGCTGGTAGACTATCATCCTTGCCATCATCTCCCAAATCCTCTCTCCAGCATGGCTATAGCCCCTGCACCTTGTGTCTGCTCTGGCAGTACAAGCAGAGGAGTCAATTATTTTTTTTCCTGGTTGTTTCTCTCCAGTGAAACACACATTGGTGCTGCAAGAAAGACACCAGCAAGCTTATCACACCAAAAGCTTTCTGTCTCCTGATCCATGGCAGTGGAGAGCATGGCTCCATCCCTGCATGGCCAGCTTGCCTGCTAGCTCTCGTGGACTAAGTCCCATTAGCAAATTTGGTCAGCAATGTTCACGAGGGATCACCCAGGATGCTGAAGGAGTCATCTGTGAACAGCTGAGCAGCAGAGGTGTCCAGATCCCAGCAAAATCGCACCTATTGCTCCCAGATAAAAGTACCTGAGGATGCAATGAATTCCAACGCACTGATGTGGCCAGTCACCCCAAAAGTCAGCCTTTGTAGACTATGACATTTCAACATCCTTAACTCATCCCAGAGAGGCACCAAGCACCCTCAGCTTGACGCCACCCGTGCGTGCTGGAGGACTCGGCCACCTTGTTCCAGCGGGCTCGAAATTTCACATTTCTTCTTGAGTGGGTAAGGAGGAATCACAGAGATGTGGTCAAAAGTTCTCTGAAGAGGGTTTGGCCACATGGCATCAATAGGATGCAAAGGTGAACAAACTGTGTGCAGCTCCCTGCTGGTGCCTGGCCTTGGAGGTGAGCTGCCGGGTGCTTCCACATGTGAGCAGGTCCTGTGAGGCTGTGATAACTCCTCCACTTTCACTCAGTCTGAGCAAGCTGGTAAGCACTGCCCTTGAGGACATCTGCAGTCATCCAAAGCTGCACCTAGGCATGGGGGCTGCCCCTGGCACTGTCTTGGTGGGTGTCCAGAGCACCCCAGCTCACACGCTGCCCTGCTCCCCAGCCCAACCCAGCAGATCACACTGGGAATCACTTTTAAGGGTCCCTCAAAGCAAAGCTTGCTCAGGCAAAACCAGATTTTCAGCAGCCCTGCCCAGAGTCTCCCCATCTCTGCACCTGCTCTGGGCTGGAGATGCAGAAGCAGCCCCCTCTGGACCCTGGCATGCTGCCCTATCCCACCATCCCAAATAGCAGCAGGTCATCCTGTATCCCCTACTACATACCAGCCCCTCCAAAAAAAAAAGCCTGCTCCAAAACCCAGCCTGCCTCTCCTGAAAACTCAGCCAGCAAAGCTGGACTTCAGCTTCCCTTCACCTTTGAGTACTCGGCTGTTTGTGCCCATAGGACACCTTGCTTTCCCCTGTGTTTGGGACCATGGGGCACCTGTGTGGGGTCCAAGGTCTGCAGAGAGCATGGAGAGCTTGCAGGTGTCCTCTTGCTTTGCTGCAACCCCCCAGGGAAAACTCAAGCTCTTTGGGAAAACATGCTGTGCAGCTGGTAAGGAATGCACCAGATGGGATGGGATGGGATGGGGTGGGATGGGGATGTTCTCCCACTGTATCACCAAATCCCTGAGTTATAGTACACCTTATAGACGGGAACCTCAGCAAGACGGCTCCATCTCCATTGCTCCTCCAAGGCTGCTGGCCCCCTTCATGTCGGAGAGGACCCTGCTCACATCCAGTCCGGGTGCACCAGCCCCTGCGCTGGTGGGATCCACTTTGTTCTGCTGCTTGGGGTTTTCAGCACTGCCGTCCATCGCATAGGGGAGAGAACGATCCTCCCCTGACCCGTGTTCCCATCATCCGCCTTACTGGGTGTTTTACGCAGACAGAGGCAATGATTTTAATGTCCCAGTGAACAAGCTGTCGGAACGCATCAGCCTCAAAGGGCAGGCTTCAGCGATGGCTTCTCCTCCCAGGCGCTGCCTGGGCACAAAAAAGCGATTCCAGCTCTACACACACGTGTGCGCACGCCATGCATGTGCCACCAGTGCCCGTTGTTTTCCGGCCTTTTAACAAAACATCCTTCAAAACCCCACTCCTCAAGAGGGGGAGGTGGTGAGCCCGGGCAGGGGGGCCCGTAGGTGAGCCGCCGCCGGGATGGCATGGCTGCCGGGCAGGCAGAGCAGGCAGCTCTGCGGGCAGGAGCCGGCATGATGTGATGGGACCTGAGCGCTCTGAAGCCATC